GGTCGTGGGGGGGTCATGCAGGGTCGGGAGGGGTCGTGCAGGGTTGTGGAGGGGTCGTGCGGGGGCGTGCAGGGCAGCGCAGGGTCGTGGGGGGGTCATGCAGGGTCGGGAGGGGTCGTGCAGGGTTGTGGAGGGGTCGTGCGGGGGCGTGCAGGGCAGCGCAGGGTCGTGGGGGGGTCATGCAGGGTCGGGAGGGGTCGTGTGGGGTTGTGGAGGGGTCGTGCGGGGTCGTGCAGGGTAGTGCAGGGTCGTGGAGGGGTCATGCAGGGTCGCGAGGGGTCGTGCAGGGCAGTGCAGGGTCGTGGGGGGGTCATGCAGGGTCGCGCAGCACTCACCCGCTTGACGAGCTCGTGGTGCGTGTGGTCCATCTCGTCCATGTTGCGCGGCGGCTCCTTCCAGCGCCACGTCAGGATCTTGTCGACCTTGCCCGTCAGCGGACTGCACTGCAACGCGCACAAATAACAACACATGAACGGTCGCCGCGCGCGACAAACAATCGGCTAGCTCGGAAGCGACGGCGCGCCACGTGAAAACTCGACGGTAGTCTCGTTGTAGTTTCACCGATTGTGACGGTGATTACACTGATAGTAACGGTATTGCCGCGTTACCAACTTACCATGCAGTATAGTAATGGTGGCTACTGTTTCAGTGATATCAATAATGCTAATTGTAGTGGTGATGGTAGCAAATTAGCAATGCTACAACGCAGTAGTGCTAGATAATAATAATGCTAATAATAGCTGTGATGATATCAATGTTACCTCATGGTTAGGTACATATTGTGTCCGTGATATCAGTAATGCTAAGTTAGTAATGATAGCAAGTGCAGTACTGAGTAACCAGGTAGTAGCTGCACTGCTCACGACAGTCGCAGCTGCAGTGACGGTAACGCTAGCGACGTTCACCGTCAGTTATAGCTAGTGTTGTCAATCTGTTGTAATTTCGTAATCGATCATCGGTTGGATCCAAGTAACCGATGATCGGTTACAATCGGTTACTCGGGGTGTTGAATGCCTGCGTGTGCGTAACGTCGTGTGCATGTATGTGTGTGCATGTATGTGCTTGTTTAGCCCTGTTTACTGTTTGTTTTGCACTGTTTACTACTGTGTGTATAATACATGTACTGATTCTCATCATTTTTCCAAGCTTTCTTGTTCAAATTTGATAAAATCGATTATGGATTTTGATAACCAAGCGCTTGGTTCGAGCCACTGTTCAACCGATGATCGAGTATAATCGATGATCGTGACATCACTAGTTATAGCGTCATTTAACCCCGACGGCTGCTGCGCGCACACGCGACCGCCACGATGACCTCACCTGATGACCTGCCGGCTGTCCTTGACCCCAGTGTAGGTCACGACGTACATGTCTGGCGCCCAGAACTCAAACTCTCGCTCCCAGTTGATGATGGTCGTCAGGGGCGCGCTGACGAGGAACGGCCCATTGGAGAAGCCCTGTAACGCAGCGAAGAAGCAAAGCAACGATGAGTCGGCGCGTTGTCGCGCACACACACGCGAGAGAACCCCCTCCCCCACCCGAAAAACACCACGTATTTCGGTGAATATAACAACACACCTTACGAGATACATCACAAGTCTTATAAGATACATTAACTTGCGACTCGACTAGATCTACGTATGTTCGCTGCTGCGAAAGGAATGACAGCGAGCGATTAAACCGCGTGGAAAATGTGAAAATATATCACTTTAAAGTACAGGACCCGGTTCCACAGTCGTGGATTAACTCTTAACTCCAAGTTAAATTCCGTTCCACAGTCGTGGATTAACTTTAACTCTGGTATGAACCTAGATTAAACTGTTAACTCAGGGTTAAAAATCGAGTTACATTCGATTTAGTTATAGATAGTCTTCGGTATAATCCTTTAAGACTTTGAAGCCTATTTTCTATGCGGTTAATTTAGCTCTAGGATACTAGTACTAGAGCTAATTAGTTTATCTAGTACTGCCCCGTGTCCGATCCCCCCCTGGCGCTGGAACATACAGTGTTTGTTTACGTTTGTTGTACATTGGTCAGCCATTGATGGCGTACCAACACTGATCCCGGCATCCGTACTGTGATAATACGGGAAAATGTAAGATATTTAGCGATTTCGCAATAGCCGCAGCTGTTAAAGTGTCGTGCTAATGTCGTCGCGGGTTCAATCCCCGCATTGGCAAAATATTTTCTCTCATTTATTTATCGCTGCCGGTTTTCATTATAACGTTTTTTCATAACACCTTCTACCATGTTCGTGCATCTATCATGCGTCTATCATGTTCGTCTGTTCTAACTACGTGGAATTATGGGATACTAACTCTGAGTTAAAACATTTAACCAGCCTCAGGATTTAATCCATGTTTATGAAACCCAAATTTAACTCAGAGTTTACTAACTCAGTTAGTGAGATTAACTCAGAGTTAGCTTTAATTCAGAGTTAAAGTTAATCCACGTCTGTGGAACCGGGTCCAGAGGACTACAATTCGCGTGGTCACGTACCTCCTTGTACAGCGAGTAGAGGAAGGAGATCGTCTGGATGGTCTTACCGAGACCCATCTCATCTGAAATGGGGAACGGTAACCACGGTAACAGCAGCACTACAAACCAACGACCCAATGTCGACTTTTCATTGCGACTCGTCGTTACAGCACCCGTTATGCCCCAGATCATGCCGTGTCACCACAAGCCGTTCCAAGTACCCCCCAAGCGGTTCTCTTCCTCAAGGCCCCCACACACGGCGCAGGCTGTCGGCGTGTGCCGGATGCGAGCGCAAAATATCTATCGTGTTAGATTTTTCGGGCTCAGCGCCGTTGGCGTGCGCCGATTGCGCACCGTGTGCGAGGGCCTTCCACGCCACAACCCGACGCTGTACATCGCTGCAGCCCACCTGCGAGAATGGTGTTGGTTCCTTGCGCCCACGAGAAACGAAGCCAGTTCAAACCCTCCAGCTGGTAGGGGTGCAGCTTCCCGCCAGTGTCCGTGATGTACTCCGGCTGCACCTCCGCCTTCTTCTTCAGCTGCGGGCAGCGAGAACGAACACGTCTTAATGCGTCTGCCGCACTTACAACTACAGCTGTGCGGCGTGCGCAAGAGCAGCGTAACAGCTACAGCCAAATATCACATAGTCAGCTTTCAACAACTTCTGATGCCGAAAATTGTGCTCACGTTGCTCAGCAGCGGTCCTTCCTGCTTCTTCTTCTTCTTGTCTCTCTTCTTGCTCTTCTTTGGCTCCGCCAATTCTTCTTCCATAGCATGGATATGTTCTCTGCAAATTGCGAGTCACTTATGCACTCTCCGCATCACTTCCCAGTCAGTTCATAAGGAAGAGATTTGACAGGTGGTCATGCATAAAGCACCAGTATAATACATCTAAGGAGAGGAATAGTGGTGGAAACGCCCTGGAATTTCATAATTGGTTACACTCAACCAATTGACAAACAATTATTCATCATATTGCATGCAGGACCTAACTTTATCCGACCTAATATTAAGCCCACTAGCCAGTTTACATATCACCGTTTCATAGGTGTATTAATATAACTTCAACGAATAATATTTGTGCACTCACAACCAGTGTATCATATACGTCGACACACACGGGGCACAACATAGGAGGAGGCAGCATGCACGATAAACATGATGGCAGCAGATGTAATACAAGAGCAATCGGAGATAGCAAACCTCTGCCACAGTGTAACAGTCCCCCCATCTTGCTGGTACACCCAATGTATAACATAAGTGAACACGTAGGATGTAACATACGTGGATACGGACGGTATCGTTACAACTTTAACTTTAACTTATCCTCTTGGTCCCCCGGTGTGACATAAGGCCGCCGTAGTATCGTTATAGACGCGGGGTCTTACTTGTGCTGCTTGAAGCGATCGACGTAGCGTTGGAAGTTGTGCACACAGCTGTCGTCCAGCGTCTCCCACGTCACCTGCTCGTACGGAAGGTCGCGCCACTTCACCAGGTACTCGACCCTGTCACGCTTCTTCCTGCATGACAACGAAGCGAGACGACGAGACGATGAGACACGCGCGATAGCCGCAGCTAGTAGCTACACGACGAGACGGCCGCGCGGTTCGCCTCCAGTCTTACCAACACACACTACAGCATTGACAGACACCATGGATGCGCTTCGTTTCAAATTTACTATCACCACGGTAACCTACAGCACTGACAGGCACCATGGATGCGCTTCGTTTCAAATTTACTATCACCACGGTAACCTACAGCACTGACAGCCACCATGGATGCGCTTCGTTTCAAATTTACTATCACCACGGTAACCTATAGCACTGACAGGCACTATGGATACATTTTCTTCTAATATCGCCATC